GATCAGCTTTCGACCCATGATTTTTCCAAAAAATTTATATGTTACTTCTTTTAATACGAAGAATTCAAATATCAAATTTCAATGAAATCGGTTGATTATTTCTCTATATATACGCAAAAATGTATATTTGGCTCGTAGTAAACGTCTAGTTGCTGATGCCTGATTTATTTCAAAAGTTATGAATTTTCGCGGACGGTCGAGCAAAGCTCATATATGAAATTTCAAGTAAGTCGGTTGAATATTTTCTTCAAAATTGTAAAAAAAGTAAAATCGCCCTGCAAATCAGTTTTCGAGCCCTGATCTTTCTAAAAAATTTATATGTTCATTGTTTTAATACGACGAATTCAAGTATTAAATTTCAATGAAATCGGTTGAGTATTTCTCTATATATACGCAAAAATGTATATTTCGCTCGTAGTAAACGTCCAGTTGCTGACACCTGATTTCTTCAAAAGCTAGGAGGTTTCGCGGACGGTCGAGCTGAGCTTATATATGAAATTTCAAGTAAACTGGTTGAATATTTTCTTCAAAATGTTGAGATACACTCATGCTAAAAATAGTTTATTTACACTTCCCTACTATGGAAAATGCATTCCCACCGAAAACTTGATATGCAAGATTTGTTGCCATCACATAACCTACCTATTGTATACACAATACGGTCGGCAAAAATGGAAGATGTTGCTAAACGTGCACTAACTGAAAATGATATATACAAATATTCCAGAAATATTCCGTTTTTTAGAGAAGTTTTTAATTGTGGCAAATTACCAAAAGTAAAACCCTGGAAAAATGAATGTGGAATTATTAATTTAGATAGCTTTTCTAGCACTGCTATACATTGGGTAGCTTATTGTAAAAAAAGAAACATTATAAAATATTATGATAGTTTTGGAAATCTTAAACCACCGATTGAAGTAGTCAATTATTTGGGAAATACTCGTAATATAGAATATAATTATGAATCACATCAAGACTATAATACAATAATTTGAGGTCATTTATGCTTATTATTTTTGTTTAATAGTTGGAATACATAATTTAAATTTAACATATTAAGAACAACAATCATGTCAACAACATTAACCTTAAGTGGTAATTCATCTATTCTTAAAGCTAACTATTTTCCACCATTCGAATTAAATGGTGATTATGTATGTGTTCTCATTGACTTCCAAACATATAATTCCATACCAAATATTGATGTTAATAACGATATATTTCATATTGGGGATCGCAAATTGAAATTCCACAAAAACTTAGATCCTACGAAATTAAAGATATTAAAAATATCAGTAAAAATTATAACAATACGCTCAAGTGTGAAGTGAAAAGTATTGAACAAATATATTTCAATAAACCCAATTCGATTAGTTCACTTCTTGGTTTTAGTTCAAAAGTGCTAAACGCGAACTGTAAACATACATCAGATTTTAAATACAATTCGCATAGAATGTAATATTATTACAAGTTCTTTTATTAATAACAACAAAGCTCTACTATACACGAATTTTCGCCTGAAGTTGGTTCAGGTTATAAAATAATTGAGGTGCCCAAGAATGTAATCTATTTACCAGTTTGTGTTCGGGAATTAAGTACTCTAACTGTAAAACTAATTGATCAAGACGGTGAATTAATAAATATTCGAGAAGAAAAAATAACACTCTGATTGCATTTAAAAAAATTATCATAATGATAATATATAATACAGCTGCTGAACAAGAAAATCTTATTAATAATAGAGTAACGGCTGATATAATAACAAGAACAAAACAAAATCAAAAAAGAATATCATCTCTATCATCATCATCATCATCAGCATCATTATCCAAAAAGCCATTTAACAATAACCTTAAAAAGTTATCTGTTGTAAATAAAATATTTTTGAAAAGATTGGGTTGGACACTCATACTCACCATTTTTGAATTCATAAAATAAAATTTGTAAACAATGGTGTCTGTCATCTTTTTGAAGAAATACGTTACCTTTTGAATTTTATTGAAATTGATTCAACTAAAAAACTGGGACATGCTTCTGCATTGAAAAATTATATTTCTTTATCTAACAACAAGAATGATATGCTAAAAAATGCTTGGTGCCCACCCAAACCATGAAACCATTAATAAACATATTCAAAATAACATGGACTGTACCTCACATCATCACATCTGATGAAAATAAGTTACCATTATTAAAAATTGTTGATAATTCTAAACCCTTATCAATAAGTTTTCGTACTTGGGAAATGTATGAATATCCAAAATTAGCTGAAACTACACATCATATATGGTGTGTGAAAACCTCATCTCAGTTAGAAAAACCACGCTATATAATTTTGTATTGCAAACGGATAGAGAAAACAAAAAAGGAAAATATATTTCACAATATGATTATTGTCACTTAATAGATTACAAGGCTCATTTAAATGCAGAAACATAATATTCATATGAAAATTTAAATATATCATTTGAAAAAGACAAATATTCTATTTTTATCATATGTATACTGATTTTCAGACATCATATTATCAAGGTATTGAAAATTAATAAAGGATTGATTTTAAAAACAAAATCGGTTCCATTGTAGCTATAGATTGTACACATCAAAATGATTCACTTAAATCAGGAGCAGTAGATGTGCGATTGGAATTCAAAACATCTATTAATGTTCCAGCTTCTACATCAGCATATTGTTTTATACTTATTCATGACAGAATAGTTCAATACAATCCGTTGACCAGTGAAGTTCGAAAAATTAATTTATCAAAAAAAAATTATTGATGTTTCAATAATTTTTTATATTATTATGCATGTCATCACAATATATTTCATATATAAAACTATCTGTGTCAGTATATATTAAATTACAAATATTATTAAATTTAGGTTTCATGTAATTGTAATGAAAGTCATAAATTAATGCTTTTGAAATATCTAAAATTGCTGCCCCAATGTAAATTGGTTTATTGGCAATGTATTTCAGCATTACTTTATTCAACTGCTATCAAATTTTCGTTGAAGATTGCACAATTTTTAAAATATCAGCGATTTAGCACCATAACGACCTCCCCATTTTCTTACTAGTTTTACTCTAGCATGTTTTCTTGTATTCTCCATCGATTTTTCATAACAACCATTATTATATAATTTATTTTATTTTTATTTTTTTTATTTTATTTCAAAAAATTCTCTAAAAAGAGCCTAAGCTCATACAGAGTGTTCTCTTATTAATTATTTAATATTGTATAACAATTTGACTTTAAATTAAAAATTCTAGTAATAATTTCATATTGCTAAATGTGAGAAAAAAGAAAAAAACTTAATAAAAATTTAAACAAAATATAACAAAATTTATAAAAAGAAAAAAAAGTAAAAAGTAAGGAGAATAGAAAAAAAAAAAAGCAAAACTAGGTAGAAAATTTGAAAGTTACAACAGTTTAAAAAAAATGTTTATGTTTTCAATACTTTTCTAAGAAAAATGATTTAATGTTTTTCATTATTTTTGATGTATTGAAGTTATTAAAATCGATAATTTTTAATAATTTGTTGTACAGAATAGCACCTGAATTTAAAATAGGTTGTAAACCTTGTAAGTGTAATCCAGCATCAAATCGAATATTTTTAGCATTACGGGTGTTATAATTATGAATTTCATTGTTTGATGTTAATTTCACATTTGATTTGATATTATCAGCTTGAAAGTTGTGTATGTGGAGTGCTTGTAACGTACTTATTAAATCACGTATTTTTAAAACATTATAATTTTTATGTAATTCATTTGTAGGCGTTCTGTGATGTAATCTATGCAAATTTTTCAAAGCTTTATTTTGTACTTTTTGTATTGCATCCAGGTTTTTAACAAAGGTGTTACCCCATATTGCTATGCCATATGATATTTTACTATGAAATAAGCAATAGTAAATTTGCATTTTTAGATTTTCTGGTATTCTATTGCCAATTTTTTTGAAAATACCGGCAATTCTACTAAGTTTTTTGATAACATCATTACATTGAAGATTCCACACGAGGTCTTGATCAAAAATTACACCAAGATATTTATAAAAGGATACTTTTTCTAATATGACATTGCTGTATTTAATTTCAATTGTTTTATTGTTTGATTTGAGCATCATATACTTAGTTTTCGCCGTGTTAACAGTGAGTTTGTGTAGTTTCATCCAAGTCTCTATTTTAATCATGTCTTCGTTAGCTTTTTGTTGCAGGTCATCATATTTTTCGTCAGAATATACTACAACAATGTCATCTGCGTACATGTATAATTTGCCATTCAACTGTAGTTTTGAAAAACTGCTAATGTAACAGGAGAATAAGCCGGGACCCATCGAACTACCCTGGATTACACCAAATTCAATTGATCCTATTTCACTTTCAATTTGCTCGCATATTGTGTATTGTTTTCGGTTTTTGAAATAGTTTTTGAACCAAGCATATTCCCGACCTGTCACAACACACTCAAACAATATCCTTAATGTATTATGTTAATGAATTATATGTAAAACACCCCTAATGTTTAATAGTGTGAATCACACCTTATATTAAATAGCATTGCTGTACTTTATATTCAATTGTACTGTATATAGAACATATGCATATATTTTTATATTAAATATAAAAATCAGTCATAATAAACCAGTCTTAGAATAAGCATCTAATTTGTTTTATTTAAAAACTAATACATGGCGCAGCCGAGCCACATGTATTACAATGCGATTATTAATTATATTACATAAAAAAGTCCAATATTAAAGTTTAGTTATATGTACATTAATAAAATATTTACAATATTACGACTGAAAATTAGGAATTTTTAAATTTAAAAAAAAAAGAAAAAGCAGTTTATTATACATGATTAGCATATAAAATTTTACCACGTGCATGGGATTTGTAAAAGTTGAAAATAAGTCAACCTGCATGCATCAAGTCACAAGTAAACGAAAACGTGGCAGACCACCAAAAAGTGTAACTTATATTATAAACAAAATGGATTTTTTAAAAAAAATTGATGAGCTGGACCTAGAGGGTAATGTAGCTGACAATTGGAATACATTTATAGAAAATTTTGAAGTTTTTGAAGTAGCTGCAGAGTTAAATGCAAAGTCACCTGAAGTACAAGTAGCAATATTTTTAAACACGGCAGGTAAAGCTGCTTTAGAATTATTTAAAACACTTAATTTAAATGAAACAGCAAAAAACGATTTAAAAGCTGTAAAAGATGCTTTTAAAAATCATTGTACTCCGAAAAAGAATGAGGTTTTTGAATCATTTTTATTTCACACGCGTGATCAAAAACTTGGTGAACCGTTTGAGACTTTTCTGGTTGATTTAAAGAAATTAGTGAAAAGCTGCAATTTTAAAGATGAAGACAGAATGCTGAGGGATCGCATTGTAATAGGCATAGAAAATAAGGACCTGCAAAGAGAACTTCTGAAAACGCAATCGTTAACCGCTGATAAGGCAATTGAATTTTGTAAACAGTATGAGGCATCAAAACATCAAGTAAAACAAATGCGAGGTAATGTAAAAAATGTTGATGAAATTGCAAGACATCTGACCATTGGTGCAGTGGTTATGGCACCGGTCCTTTAACCGAAGGGTCTCGGGTTCAAACCCGATTTATTGAATAAAAATTATATTCAATATTATTATAACTTAATATACAATACTAATAAAAATATCATACAAGTAATTTTCAAATATTCCTAATATTCGATATTAAAAAAAAACTAAGAAAAATAAATAGTAAATATTAATAACCTCAAATAATTAATATATAAATAAAACCTACGGCAGGCTGGTCACCTACCTAGTTAAAACCCTATGACGCTATGAAACTAGTGCATGAGAAATCATGCACTAGCCCTATGCTCCTTCTAGGAGTGAACAAAGGAAAAAAAAAAAAAAAAAAAAAAACTAAGTCTGATAGTAATATGAATTCACGTAAGTTTAACAGAAATAATTTCAATAAAAATTCTAATAGCAATGTTCAAAATTATAGAAACAATAAAAATGCACATTTTGGAAAAATTAAATGTAGATTTTGTGATAATTTGCATGTCAAAAGTAGAAATGCTTGCCCAGCTTTTGGAAAGCAATGTAAAATTTGTAATAATCTACATCATTTTGCCACTTTTTGTAGATTCAAAGATAAAAATACAATGAAAACTGGTGTAAATCAAATAAAAGCTCATAATTATGATTCTGATTCAGACTGTGCATTTTTAAATGTTATTAATTTAAATAGTGATGACTCTTGGTATGAAAATGTGAAAATTGAATCCAATATATTTAAATTCAAATTAGATACTGGTGCAGATACCAATGTAATTCCTAAAACATTTTTAAATTGTTTGAAAAACATAAAAATTCAAAAAAATGATATAAAATTAAAAGCTTATAATGGTTCAAATATTGAGATGTTAGGTATAACTTATTTAAATGTTGTACATAAAAATATTAGCACAATATTAAAATTTTATATTGTTGATAGTGATAGTTGCATTTTGGGTTTGAATGCTTGTTCAAAATTAAAATTAATAAAGCGCATTGACCATCTAAATTTAGAAAATATAAATGATTTACTTGCGAAATATAATGATGTTTTTGAGGGTAGTGGATGTTTTATAAAAAATTTCTCAATTGATTTAAAAAGTGGTGCTATACCTGTGGCTAGACCAGCTAGACGTATACCACAAATGCTAAGAAAACCCTTAAAAGATGAGTTAGAGCGGTTATGTAATAAAAAAGCGATAGAGAAGGTTGAAACTTCATCTGATTGGGTTTCAAATCTCGTTATAATTGAAAAACCTAATGGTAAAATTAGATTATGTTTGGATCCTCAGGATCTTAATAAAAATATTAAGGAAAGGTATTATGAAATTCCTTCATTTGAAGATATTAAATTGAAATTTTGTAATAAAAAATTATTTTCGGTATTTGATTGCAGGGAAGGGTTCTACCAAATTGAATTAAATGAATATTCTAAGTCATTATGTACTTTTAGTACGCCATTTGGGCTTTATAGGTTTACTAAACTGCCTTTTGGATTAAAAATTGCACCTGAGGCATTCCAAAAATTGAATGAACAGAATTTTGGCGACATTCCAAATGTAATCGTTTATATTGATGACCTTTGTATAGCTGCAAGTAATGAAAAGGAACATGATGAAACTGTTAAATTAGTAATGGACAGAGCTAGAGGACTTAATGTTAAATTTAACAAAGATAAGTTACAGTATAGAAAAAATGAAATTTACTTTCTTGGCCATAAAATAAATGAATGTGGGGTAGCATGTGACATGAATAGGATGCAAGCAATTGAAAATTTAGAAAATCCAAAAAATAAAAAGGACTTACAGAAATTAATGGGCTTTATTAATTATATGGGTAGTTTTATACCTAACTTGGCTGAAGTATCAGCACCCCTTAGAGCTCTTTTAAAGAATGGTGTTTTATTTAGATGGGATAAAATTGAAATTGAATGTTTAAATAGAATAAAATTATTAATTAAAGATTCGCCCACTCTGAAACATTTTGATTTTACTGAACCTATTTCTATTCAGACTGATGCATCGAGGAGTGGATTGGGTGCATGTCTAATGCAAAAAGGAAGACCAGTTTGTTTTGCATCCAGAAGCATGACTGAAACTGAAATTAATTATCCCCAAATTGATAAGGAATTTCTGGCGGTAGTTTATGAATGTAAAAAGTTTCACAATTATATTTATGGTAGAAAAATTGAGATCATTACGGACCATAAACCCTTATTAGGAATTATGGCGAAAAAATATTATAGCATACCTTCCCCTAGATTGCAAAGGCTTAAACTTAAATTAGAAAAATACAATTTAAATTTTAGATACTGCCCAGGCAAATATATGTTTATAGCCGATTTTTTATCAAGAAATTTTAAAACGGAAAAGCAAGAATGTGAAGAAATGAATGGTCTGTCTGATATGATACACACAATAAATGTAAGTGATGAAAAGAAAAAAATTTTTCAGGATGAGACTTTAAATGATGAAATTTTAAAGGATTTATTTAAAACAATTAATGATGGTTGGCCTGTAAGAAAAGAATTATTATGTGAAAAACTGAAACCTTTTTGGAAAAATAGAAATGATCTTTTTGTAGTTGATGGATTAATATTTTTGAACGACCGTATTTTTGTACCCAAATCTTTAAGAGATGACGTATTATATCAATTACATTTACCACATCTGGGTGTTGAAAAAACTAAAAGTAGAGCTAGATCTATTGTATATTGGCCAACCATGAATTTAGAAATTGAAGAGTTAATTCATAAGTGCAACATTTGTGAAAAATACAAATATTCGGAACCCAGGGAGCCTTTAATCAATCATGATATACCTGAAATGCCATTTAGTAAAATAGGATTAGATATTATGGAATTAAATGCTAAGTCGTTTTTAATTATAGGAGACTACTACTCAAAATATTTGGATATTATACCATTGTATAATAAAACAGCTAGAACTATTATTGAGAAATTAAAGGTAGTGTTTTCATATCACGGTATTCCCAATATTGTAATAGCAGATAATATGCCTTTCAATTCATACTTGTTTAAGGAGTTTGCAAAGAAATATGATTTTAAAATTATCACGAGTAGTCCATTGTACCCAAAATCGAATGGATTTGCTGAAAAAATGGTAGGTATTTCTAAAAGACTTTTGAAAAAAACGAAGGAATCAAACAATGATTTATGGCTTTCATTACTCGAATATCGGAATACACCTATTAAGGGCTCTTGTTTGTCGCCAGTTGAAATTTTAATGGGTAGAAAAACCAGAACTTTGCTACCTGGTAAACAAATTTTTTTTAAGAATTATAATAATAAAAATAATAACGTTATTAAAACAATTGATAATAATAATAAAAGAAATAAAATGTATTATGATAGGAATGTAAAATATAAAAATAATTTTTTTGGAGGGCAAGAAGTATATATTAGAAATAATAATGAATGGGTACCTGCTACAATAAAAAGCAAAGATAAATCACCACGTTCATATTGGATTCAATTTAATGATAAAATTTTTAGAAGAAATTCGAATTTTATAAGAAAACGTCACAATTAAAATGTAAAAACTTGAATCACATTGAATTTTGATAAATTTAAATAAAATACATATATGTATGTATATAATGTACATATACATGTATAATGTAAATTATTACGATGAATAAATATTTTTATATATAATGAATTTCTATTCCAAAATAGTCTTTAATGAAAAGTTGCAGAAATTGAAATTTAAATTGAAATTTGAATACCAACTTAGTTAAATATTTTTGATAATTTTTTATAATAAGTAAATTGGATTAATAGATATAATCAATAAATTAAAATTTATTATGTATAGTTTTGAAATTGAAATTTATTTTAAAATAAAATTTAGTATTTTTAAATATAAATTTAAATTTAAAAAAGGGGAGATGTATTATGTTAATGAATTATATGTAAAACACCCCTAATGTTTAATAGTGTGAATCACACCTTATATTAAATAGCATTGCTGTACTTTATATTCAATTGTATTGTATATAGAACATATGCATATATTTTTATATTAAATATAAAAATCAGTCATAATAAACCAGTCTTAGAATAAGCATCTAATTTGTTTTATTTAAAAACTAATACACTTAATAAAGTGGTTCTGTCCACAGTGTCGAAAGCCTTTGACAGATAAAAAAACACCAAACACACTTTCTTTTTCATAGACACCTGGTTTTGAATGTAAGAAACAACATCAAAAAGATCTGAGTTTGTGTTTGATTTTCTTGTAAAACCGTACTGCGCATCAGAAACGAGATTGTTATTTCTCAGGTGTTCATTTAGTTCACTTATAACGTAAGTCTCCAATAACTTACTAAGAGTAGATGCTAAGGAAATCGGTCTAAAGTTGTTGATGTCTGACTTATCTCCGGTTCTTTTATAGATAGGTATTACCTTAGTAATTTTTAGTTGGTCTGGCACAATACATTGTTCAATACTCGCAGTAATGAACTTCATAATGGGATTCGTTAGCTCATTTTTACATTGCTTGGCAACCCAAGAAGATATATTGTCAGTACCACTGCTTTTAGATGTAGATAATGAATCAATTAGTTTAATTGTTTTCGTGATGTTAATTTTGTTTAAGAAAAATTTCGAAGATGTTCGATTTTGCGGAAAGTAAATTGAATCATAATTTTTAGCCATATTCATACCAACATTACAATACATTTTGTTAAAACTATTAATTTTTTGTAGTTTTTCATTGTCTGAAAATTCACTTTCGAAAAATTCGTTATGACATTTAGCAGCTCCATCTGTTATAATTTTCTTAATATAGTTCCAAGTTTTTTCAGAATTGTTTTTATATTTACTGAAATAATAGTAATCATATTGTTTTTGTTTTATACGTTTGACTTGCGTTAATTTATTAAGCCAATAATGATACTTGTTTTTCAAACCCTCATTATTTAGATTTTTTATATGCTTTCTATGCCAATAATTTTTTGTGCGTATCAATTGTAGACATTCTTCGTCAATCCATGGCTTACTAAATTTAGCTAATTTTTTACTTTTATGATTGTTTGTGGCAACACTCAAAACATTTTGAAGCACAGTTTGAAAATTTGTGTAAAATATTTGACAATCATTTGAAGTTGTATCAATATGACAGTTTCGCAGCTGGTTTTGAACAGTATTTATATTTATTATTTTTTTTTTATTTTGTATATTGAAATCTACATTAGAAATAATTTTATGGTCAACAACTTCCGTAATAATCATTGAGTGATCAGACAAATCAGTAAATAAGTTCATTATATTTATCTTTTCAGTTTTCCCGTTGGTAAGAATATGGTCTAGACATGAATTTGATGCAGGTCTTGTTACAAAATCATAACAAAAGCCAAAGCCATTTGATTCAACAATTGATATGTACTTGTTCACACTTTTATCATTTGTACAACGAATATCAAAATTAAAGTCTCCCATAATAATTGCATTATTTTTGCTAAAATTGTTTAGGTGAGAATCGAATATATGGAGAAAATTAAGTAAATTTTGTGATTCATTATTTGGGGGTCTGTATATTGCGGAAAAATCGAATTTCATGTTGTTGTTGTTTAATTGAAGAGACAAAAAACTATTGCATTCATCATTAAATTTCGTAATCGAATCTGTGTTATAATTTATTGAATCATGTATGAACAAGCCCACACCCCCACCAAGTCTTTTAGAACGACAAGAAAACTCCTTTTTATAATGCGGTATATTTACAGTGTCTATATCTTTATCTAGTATCCAAGATTCCGTAAACACAATTAAATGTATAGTTGTAGATAAACTATCAAGCATATACGTAATACTATCTAATTTATACTTCAAACTACGTATGTTGATATACATTATTTTTAGTGAATTAGAAAAATTAAAGTAAACTTCGTTCAAACTGTTGCATTGCACCAAATTTGCTTGGGATGTAAATGGTAAATCGTAATGTTCTATCTCGTCTCTTGGAATGTTGTAAATTTATTAAAATCACTGTCACTATAAATACGGACAGTGCGAGACGCTTCGTTATGTTTTACAAGGATTTTACCATCCCTCACCCATGCAAATTGTATTGTTTTCAATCTTTTCAGCTCTCTTGCTCTTTTAAATAAAGAATTAAAGTAAGGAGATAACTTTTCGTTTATGAAAATATTCTGAGAATTGATATTGACATTGTGAAAAATTTTCTTCGCTTCTAATGTTACTTCCTTTCGAGTATCGAGAATTTTCTTTCTAATCTTCGAACTATTAAGTTTCACTATGATTTTCTTTGGCTCACCTGAATATTTCGAATGTTGTGTTCCAAAATAGACTTGATCAATATCTCTGTCGACAACTTCAACACCAAGCGCTGTTGTAATGCTTTGAACCACTTTGCTAGGTGAAACGTTTGGAATTTCACCTACACCTACAATTTCTATATACTTTCTAAACTGACGTTGTTTCATCACTTCCATGGTTATTTTATTCATCTTAATATCCTGTTTTAGGCTATCAATTTCGCATCGTAATTCAGTGTTTTCCTGGACTAGAGAATTGAGTGTTTCCTTACATTCTTTGATGTCGTTCTGAACTTGCTCAAATCTTAAATCATGTTTAGATAACATTTCGATTACATCATCCAATTTCTTGACCATATCTGTGTTATCTTCCAGTCTATTATGAACTGCTTTAATGTTATTCTGTGTTGGCGTGTTGTTAATGTTAATTGCCATAGATTTGCGTTCTTTCCTTTTTCTGATACATAAAAGGCAGAACCAACATTCCTCAGGATCTGGAGCAATTTTGTTAAAATCTTCAATGGATAATCCTGTGCACTCACAATGGAACCACTTTTTACAGTCCCCATCACATTGAAGTTTTTTATGGTTTTTATTTACATTTTTCCCACATTTAGCACATAGATTTTTACCCGACATGTTAGCTGTCAAATTTATTTACTGAAAATTTATATCGTTAACTATCAAAATAATTAGTTGATGAAGCGCGTAATTTTGTATTAAAATCAATATATGGCTTAAGCCAAGCTGATTGACTAAATACAAGGACAGCTTTAATTTTAAACCACATGGTAATGCCTGCTTTAATGCTCTATAATGAATTGCATATTTTTCTTTATCAAATAGAGGAGCAACTAATTTCTTTTGATTAGAATTATTTAGTGTCATGGACTGACAACAAAATGGAATATCAGAATGAAAATCATGTAATTCTTTAGGATATTGTAAATCCCCTTCAAAGAAGTAACCTGTAGTTGAGTCATCTTAAAAAACTTGAAGAAAAGAAAGCAAAATGAATCAATCAAACTTAATATATAAAATATATTGCTAAGAGCGTGAAGCGTGCTATGTAGGACAAACAAAACAATGTTTAAAAAATAGACTAAATTAACATAAATATGATTGTAAAATACAAAACATTTATAAAACAGATAGAACAGCACTAGCACAACATCATTTTAACCATAATCATACTATTAATTTCAAGGAAACACAAATAGTAGACAGAGAGAAAAATTGGTGTAAGAGGAATATAAGTGAAATGATACACATAGAATTAAACAAAACCAACATAAATTAGAAAACATATAAAAATAACTTAAATTCATTTTATAAATCTGTAATTATGAAATTTCAAAAAATTAAAACAAGCGGTAACCCCAACAGAGTAAACAATATTTGAAAACAACAAACAGCTGATTCGTGATATTTTTATTCTTATTTTTATTTTTAATATAGTTTAAATTTTGTAAGAGTCTAGTTTTGTTCCATTTACAATTTATATGTTATTTATTAAAAAAGAAAAACTGACGATTTTTAAAAATTTTATTAAATTCATTTATTAAAGCTATTGAATTACTAAATTATGTTAAAATCAAATTAAAATTTGTTCATTAACTTAATGTAAGTATACATATAAGAAATGTATGACATATTGTAAAGACATTATTATCATATAAAATTATTATTTTAGCCCTGATGAAGATTTAAAACTAAATCGAAACGTTGGTGAAAAGTTAAAGAACATTGTTTTATTTGTCCTAGGCCAGACTACATAAAAATTTTAAATACTAAAATTAAAGGACGCTACAATTAGAACTTCAATATGTCTCTTATTAGCTTATGTCAAACCACTTCTAATACCCCGCTCATTAATTAAAGCATATCAATATCAGTCAGTAATTCTAATTTGACATTTGTTAATTTTAGCATCGCATCCCACGTATAGGATGGAATTGTTTTATAGTGAGCAGGGTCTAGTTTATGGGTAGTCAAATAACTAACTCTAAAATTCTTAAAAATATCAGCTAAAAGTAGAACATCTGTTTTTAAGAAAAGGTCAGAATAATCACCCAAGTTTTTTATTTCAAATTCCCTCCATACTTATTTTATTATAAAAGCAATGTTTTTCGGGTAAATTTTCCTCAAAAAACTTGTTAAAATTGTAAGGGTAGACACCCTTACGTTTTAGTAAATCTAAATTTTTGTTTTTAAAAATTTCAAATTCTTTTTCAAGAATTGGAAAATAGGTAGAAATTGAAGTTAAATGCTCTAAAATACTGTTTAGAAATTTGAAAGAGTCTATGAACTTATAATTTATTTTGCAATTGTTGACCAATATTGTAAATGCTGTATATTTTCCTTTGCACTACAGATATTCTATTAGAAAGACCAACAATTTCTTTTATTAGGAAGTGAGAATTGTAGGACGACAAATTATGAAAGATTATTGGTATGCATAAGTCACTAAAATCTTGTTCACAAATATGACACGTACTAGCTTGAATGAAATTAAAATTTTTATCACTCGACAAATTCATTTTGACGGGTGATTTAATATCAGATGATATTAAAGTTGCTATGAGATCTAATTCATTCATAAACCATTTAATACAATCTACTCCTCGGTAACTTTTACACACATTATAACTCGATGGAAAAGATGTTTTTATATAAACATCAATGAAACATGGTATATGTTCTTGATAATAACTATTATTAATTTCACTATTTCCATTTCCAATGGGTCGTAATATACATTCAATAACTGCATATATTACAAATGGTACCATTAACTTATTTTTATAATTCTTAAAGCTAACTCTTCTATTTTTATTTTTTGGTAAAACAATTTCACCCATATTTTGATTATAGCAGTTTTCCAAATGTTTTATTTATTTCTCTTTTTCTTTAAAGTAGTGAAGACATCTATTGTAAAAGTGTTTTCCGAGACCATTACAATTGATGGAACTGCCTATAGTAATTTAGATAATTCCTTGTAATTTAGATAAATATACATAATGCTGTTGAAAAAGAATTTTATCATCCTCCTCCTCCTCATCCTGTACTTCTTTCAATAAAAGTAAATTTATATGTCTGCGATTTTGTTGAACATGCTTGGATATTCTTAATGGTAATACCTTTCTATTTTTTCTGTGTTCACCTTATTAGCTTGATCATCATCATAATAGTTAACGTAGTTGTCGTCTTTTTTAGGATTGTAGGAACAGTACACATTGATTGAAAGATTGTTATTTTTTTCAAATATTGATATTGGCTCCGACGACATTGGAAGAGTTACATTTTGCAAATTTAGCACGTCCTGATAATTCGGACTGGGTCGACAGGGATTGATATTTGTAGGACATAATGAAAACACAATAGCCCAAGCAAGGCATGTGTCGCCCTTATTTTGAATATTTATAATAGCATGCTTACAAAGTAATTCAGATGGTTTTGGTAAATAAGAGCTTCCAATTATTAGGGATAACTTATTAACGTTTATTATTACGTTAATTATTGCGGACAAAAGGATTTAGTACCCCAGGTGGTAATTCAACTACGTTGGAGAATCCACCCTCTTCGGAGGTCGGCTCTATGGATTCTGTTGAGAGCCATTTATTGCATATTCAGGAGGAACGCGAAAACCCGGCGTTCACCACCTACATCTGATGTGCGGATTTTAGAAAAGAATAGAAATATAGAAGGTGGACTACCGAACATTCAAGCTCCACAGACCAATAAGGGTATAAACATGAGTAAAGCTCAAGACAAAGAAAGTAATGATCAGAATGCTGACATACACAAAAGGATTAGCCAACTGGAACAGCTCTGTGTGGCTTTGAAAAGCGAGGTTCTTCAACTGAGGGCTGAAAATGAGAAGCTAAAGAAAGAGAAGCATACGCAAATTACAAACAATAAGTTTAATGTGGGCAGTCATAAAGAAAAAGACGCTGCACCACGAGCAAAGCAGGTGAGGTCAGTCCTACACGCCTACTCAACAGATGAGGAGGAACTCGCCAGAGAAACGGATTGGATCCTAAAACAAAAGAGGCCCAGTAAAAAAAGA